ACGAATCATGAAGATTGGGTTTTGAATATCCAGCTAGCTGATGAAAGGTGCAATATAACCATTCCTGCGTCCAATGCAATTGGTGAAAGATCGTTTTCTACTGAGTGAAAAATTATCTAGTAGTTCTAGAACTATATATGGATCAGCATCAGCAACTGCATTATCTATTTCAAACATAGAATAAAAATTTACGCAAAGAGTTTCATTTGATAATGTAGCAATTCAAGTATTTTTACGACATTGAAATCCAGGTGTTAAATATAATGAGAAAAAGAAGAATGCAGAGTTCGAAATTTTCCTTCAGACAGGGTACCTATACCATTAAAAACGAAACAGGCTAAATATCTGATGTCACTTTTTTTATCGCTCGTACCTACACGTAATTTGATTGTGTGAGTGTTTGAAACATTTCCAGCACTCAGCACTAACTTAACCCTCTAGGGAAGGTGAAGACCCTTAGACCAACCTTTACCATTCCGAATGGAACACGGGGTCGAGTGATACCAGTTTTAAAAGAACGTTCAATTTTTTTTCAAGTTACATCAAATGAAAGAGAATTGAAAGCTCTTTAAAAAGAGGTATCACTCGACCTCTCGTTCCGCTTAAAGGGTTAAAGTTGAAGTTATCAAAATGGTTGCAGAAAACTTCTCCCTTTGAAAATCAAATTATGTGTACGAGCGATTTTTTTATAAATAAACGTGGCATTAGATATTTAATCTACGTCGGTGTGACACATTTAGCATTGTCATTTGAATGTCATTAGGTCCTTCATAATAGCATAAAATCAAAAATATACAAAAAAAACTTACCAGAAGGAACCTTTTTATTGATGCTGTCACGAGTGTCACGATATTCGAAGGGAGACTTTCGAACTTAGAATCACCAATATATTATATTCCACTATAAAACTGAATTTATGGCACAAAAATGGACTCCAATCATAGAGACTCGGAGACTCCAATGACCATAGAGAAATATAATAGTAGTAAACTACGAGAGACGTTTGTTTATGGCCATTTCCACCAACTATTTTAGGTAAGCGCTAACGATAGGTATCCCCTAAACTGACATTTCTCCATGTAAATATGTCATTTTAGGGAATACTTATCGTTAGGGCTCCCCTAAAATAGTTGGTGGAAATGGTCATTAATGTAACAATCTGGAAGTGTGTTTGTGCACATACCCGTAGCGTATTTCGCATGGTGTGGCAGAAGCTCTGTTCCAACCGACATGAGAACCGTTCTAGAACGGTAATTTCCAATCGATCAATTCATTTGCCAAGTAGGATAAACGTTCAACGTTTCAAAAAATAGGTGCGCAACTGGAAATTGATCGTTCTGGAATGGTTCTCATGTCGGTTGGAACAAAGCTAGATTATTGAACTTGATTGAACTAATTACTTCGATCGTTTCTGACAACTCGGTTTAATTTGTCTTTGTCAGCAACTTGCCCGAAAATGTTCTATCTTTTTTTAACACATACAAAATACAAAACTGTCAAAATTTGACAAATTATTGAATCGTCTATGATTGAATCCGAAGACCATCAATCAAAAACTGAATGCTCATCATCATAACTTAAAATTTCTTCTATTATTTATATTAGAGAAATGAGAAAACATTCTGTGATCATAAATATTAATTAATTAGACAAAACCGACACCAATAACAGTGTGTTTTCGAATTAGGGATGATGCGAGATGCAGTAAAAAGGTAAACACAAAGCTTATAATACAAATATTTTTAGTTACTGTATATTTATAAAATTGGAATAAAAAAATAAGTTTGTTTGAAGATATCTCAATTTTTGTATTGTTTAATTAAGTCCTTGACCCCTTTAAGGAATCTCATTGCATCTAATTTGGATTTTTTAAAAATAAGTTCTGTTATCGTTCTAAACAGTTGCTCGGTAAATTTTAGCAAGTTTTTTCAACAAATGTTTTGCTTTGCAATTAACTGTTTTGAGCGTATCTGTGATCAAAGTTAATAATTTATTTATTCAAAAAAGCCGCCTTTTCACTGTCGGTAAAGAAGAAACCTGCATTTAAACAATGTTCACTCTTTTATTGCTGTCCGTAGCCACCAGAGGCGCTAACGTCGACATTGTGCCAGTTAAGTACAGGGGAATGACTTCTCTCGTAGTTTACTACTATTATATTTCTCTATGCCAATGACTCCAATATTGAAACTGCCAAAGTCAAAATTCTAAAAATCAACTAGCAGGTTCCCGACTAGTACGGGCACCTGCTAAATTTGGACAATGCATCTCTGTGGCACACAGGTGGATCCAAACATCCAAACTAACGGTAGGAGCTGGACTGGGCATTTCCAGCCTTAAGTTTAAGCTATCCAAGGCATTGGGCAAACATCTTACAATATTTCAAGCCGAACTGCTTGCCGTTAATATATGTGCACAAGAGTGTCTCAACCAAAGCCTCAAAGGAAAACACATCTTCATACTATTAGATAGCCAAGCAGCCTTAAAAGCCTTAACGGCTTTCAAATGCACCTCAAAACTAGTCTGGGAGTGTAAACAGACCCTAAAAACACTACCCTAATAACACCGATCTCCCAGAAACATCCTATTTATGTACCATTAAGGTCCTTATGTTTCCGACATAAATGGTACATCGCTGCGATGTTTGTAATGTAACATCTCTAGGATGATTGTCCTGAAATGTTTTAGAAACATCCTTTCGAAAATATCTATCGACAAAAAGATTTTTCGTTCTCAAAATTAGATACTTATTACAGCTGAAAAATGGCTAACATTATTTTACAAAACTAGGTAGGACCTCAGACCGGCAGGACCCAGTATTAAATTTGCCAATTTTGTGTGATTTCTGAAAATGTCTCTATCACACACACAAACTAATTTCAAATTCCATAATATACCTGTAATGTATATAGATAAGGTACTTAATATTAATTTTGTATTGTAACAACAGCAAAATTTAATTTTTCATTCGACTTACAACTTGGAATAAAATAAAATATGTATTGATGAAAGTCTTCTCTCTTTTCAACTTTCAAACATCGTGAATATTCGTGAAGCCGAAGTGTATGGCGCAGGCGCGTGCTCAGGCATTTGTACTTGTACCGGTCAGGACAGGAGGGCACGCCACCACGTAGGGTCGGCGCCGCAGCCAGCGCAGACGGGCAGAATCAGTCGAACGGGTCGTCCTGTGCGCTTCGCTTGTGTTGTTGGGCGGAATTTTATTTCGTAATGGCGTCGTGCTGTGTGGAGGATTTGTCAATTTGTGGTTTTTCGCTACACCTAGTTGTGCCATTTTGTGTTCGAAAGGATCTCTGCGACCTACCAGTGCTTATTAGTTGGTGAGAAAGATTATTTGTTGAAAGATAACGTCGCATAACTATCAATTGTTTAGTTTATTTAATTTCAATATGGCGTCGGTTAGGAAATTTCTAACTTTTCTAATAAATAGCCCCTAAAAACCCGAACTTCATTCTTCATTAGGTAAGAGAAAATAACCAATAATTATTTTTTGTTTTCATAGTTGATTACATTCTAGGTGTGCAAGTTGAATTGTACTTCAAGAACTTTGGATTTTGGTTCTGTGGTTGTTTTGGTTAGTTAATGGTACCTTTATGAAATTGGAGCACCAAAAAAAAAAAGAAAACGCCGAACTCCCCCACTACAACATGCTGCCACTGCCAAACTATGGTTTTCGATGACATGACGGGGCATAAATACTACATTATTTAGGCAAAATTGTCCGTCGGTTATTATTAGTTGATAGATAATCAATATAAGTATGCATGTACCTTATTTTTTCAATAAAAAATGTTATTGGAAACTGATGTGCCTACTTAATTTTATAATTTTCAATTTTTGTTTTTTTTTTGGAAAAAGTTCTATCTGACTTCCAGAAAATAGAACGAAAATTGAAAATTATTGAATTAGGTAATTTTTAATCCATAATCCTAAAATTCATTCACCTATTAAAGTCATACTAGAAACATATAGAGGATGTTTCTTACACCTGCCCCGGATGTATTAGGTACATCCCGCGTCATCTTAGAAACATCCCTGAGAGATGTTTATAGGACATCGCAAATGATGACACGGCTGTTGCCTGCAACATCCCAGGGATGTCCCCAGGAAAATAGGGACCTCCCAGGGACGTCTTCATTATCCCTGATGGATGTTTCTGGAATGTTTCTGCGATGTTACTGTGTTATTAGGGTAGCAACACACAATCAGGTAACGCTGATGTAGCTGCCTGGTTATTGAGGCATAGAAGGGAATGAAGAAGCAGATGGCCTCGCAAAAGAAGGGGAAAAGTGAAAAGCCACATCGTGGAAGAACTCAACAAATGGGAGAAAGACCAACTATCATTATATTGGAGGCACACTCCGGGACTGAGACAGTCAAAAAGGTTTATCACCTTTTCAGCAAAGAGAGCTGAACAGCTCCTAAACATGAGCAGACCAGAAATCAGAATGGTCCTAGAACTGTTCACAGAACACTGCCTGGTGAAATACCACTTAAGGTTAATGGGCAGAGTAGAAGCCGATCTCTGCAGATTCTGCTCAGACGCAATAGACTGCTCTGCGAATGTCCAGCCCAATTCTGCAAGAGGTTCAAATTCCTCGAGAGGGCAACACTGCCACCAGAAGACGTGGGTCAACTGACACCCAAAATAGCTTCCTTCGGTAGAAGTATACGCTTCCTGGAGACAATTTAAGATGTAGACTCACGTACAAAATATCTGCAAAGATAGCAGTGCTGAGCGGCTGGAAAGCCGAAACGACTACCCCCAATCTACAAATCTACAATCTATAGTTCAGATGTGGAAATCTTTGATTCAGAAAACTTGCAAGCATTGAATGGAGAGTATTCAAAAGATCATACAGTATTTTATTGTTGATGATTAAAGATCAAGTTACTTTCTGTTTCAAAAATAATAATCCATGTCTTATGCAGTTTCCTCTTAGAAGTTTTACACACATTCATTCCAAAAATAAAACTACAGCAAATATTTTTTCTTAAAATTCGTTTTATTAAATTGATATATAAATTACTGAAAACAAAATGAACAAAAAAGGGAATCAATCAATTACAAAACTTCATATGGAATTACATTCAATTGATCAGCAGCTGCAAAATAACCAGACAAAAAACTACAACACTAACTAAATAACACAACTAATGCATTTTCAATGGAAACATTTTTATCTTTTCTTTACGGACTTTTGAAGTCCATATAATCATCGACAAATTACACTAAAAACTTGGTATGATTTGTCAATGAGACAACTAATAGTATAATCAAAATTACCCTTGAGGAATGGAAAGTTTGAAAAGATGAAACAACAAAAATGCAGATTCATCCACCAATAAACTCTTTACTATAGGAAATGGTGATGTTTGGAGTAAAAACTATATTCCAGATAGTATAGCATAGTGTTCATTGATGATTATTGTTTTTAGATGCCAAGAGTAAATAAATGCGAATACATACATTCACTGAGCAATAAATCAACCAATAATAATAATTGATAATTTACTACATCTTCATTTAATCAATTAACAAGGCATCAGCTTTTGACGATTTCAGTATCGATACCCTATTAAAAATATAACATTTTCTCAAAAAATTATTGCCCCCATTTGTTTCTTGGCTAATAATTTTTTTGCGTTTTTATTTTTCATTTTTTATTAAAAAACGTGAAAATTTAGAATATCCCTTTTGTTGTTTTTTGTTCCTATCTCCTATTTTTTATTTATTATTTGGCTAGCCATAAGAAGATACTCCTTATGTTTAGGTAAAAATGGTAATATTTTGCTAGAAAACGCTTTTAGATGTTTCTTTTTTTTAAAAAAAAAAACAGCAAATTTGGCCTAATAGATTTCAAATCTCAACTTAATAAATAATATATCTTTTTTTAAGCCAAAAATTCAAAGAAGTTTCATATTTGGAGCTTCTTTTTACTTTTGTAATACTATAATGCTAGAATTTTTTAAATATTTTATATAGAAGTCATTATTTTAATAATTTTGAGTCAATAATTTGATTCACTTTGACATGCAATGACTTCTTTATAAAATCATACAATAATTATTAATGCTAGCCAAAAGAAAGAAAAAATCTACAAACAATGTAACTAAAATAAATAATAATATAATATACTATAAATATACCTATATCCCTACAATCTAATTAGAAAATACATAAATAATATCTGATTTATTTATTTTGTTTAAAATAAGTTAAAATTTGATAATTTTCAATACTAAATTTGCGAAAGTCTTATAGAATGTTTGCGCGTTTTACATAATAATTATCATAAGAATAAACTGATGGTTTTTAAGGTAGGTACTTTAAATGGACATTTTGACAGCCCCTTATTAAAGTCCATGGTTTATGATTTGAGATCATAAGTGAACTGTAAGAAAATTGCAAGTTTTGTCAGTCAAAACTAAAAGTAAAAATCGATAATTTAAAAAAAAAGCGTACTGTGTGTCTTGATGGAAATTTATCTACAACAGCTCTTTATGTAGTCACACAATGACTATATCTCATTTATTTAAATACCTATCAAGACCCACAGTAGTAAGATATATCTTCATTCATACTAAAGAAACATAATTTTCTTTAATAAAAACAAACAGAAACAGTAATTTCGAGATTCCAGATTATTAAAATTAATTAATATTGGTACACACTTTAACGACTAGTCAAGTCTTGCAGTCTATCAACTTATTTTTCAAAAAAAATAAGTATTCAATCACTCAGGGAAGAGGCTATTATGCAAATGAGCTCAAAAGCAAATATTGCACCTCAAAAAAAAATGCACAAGACTATATTTCATTTACTCAAATATTGAATTCAAAAACTCTATAATTTGAGTGAGCCGAGTAAATGAATTATATTCAATGAAAAAAATTAATAAAATTAATAATGCACATCCGTTTTTGGAATAGTTATTCAAGGCAGTTTCTGCCTTGAATAATTATTCTTCTTTGCAACCAACCAACATAGATGATGAAAAAAAAACATGATTTTTGGCAGTACTTAGGTCGTGTATACAAGACACCGTTGTGGAAGATATGTGTATGTTGCCGTTTTTTGATGGGGGTTTTCTTGTCGAAGCAAATAGGAACATGCCTACTTCCATCGCAAAGAAAAGAAGCATTTTTAACGTGCGGTGCCATGAAAAAGTGTATGTAGGAACACTTGGACCCGAGCTTAAATACGAAATTTTACTTATACAAACCTGGATTTTTCAATATAACATTTAATGACTAGAGCTGAGTATTTTGAGACAATTATGTGAATTAGATTGAATTTGAAAAGCAACAGATTGGAAACTCCTAAATGTTATATTGAAAACCGTGAATTCTCTTAAGTTATTTTGTACTGTCGGCAAGAGAAACACATTTATTTATACTATCCTTGCTTAGTAATAAATAACATCCAACTATTTTGCGGTCATTTCAATACAAAAAACAAAACTATTTTATACACATAACAGGGGAATTATAACTTAAACAAAATTATTATACACACATAAAAAAAAAACTCACAATTACATATCTATAATACAAATTTTAAAACACAATTCCCCAAGAACATGAAAACATTTGATTACAAAAAGCAAAATTAAGTACTAATAAATATTATATTATTCAAACTAACAATGGTTCTGGTTGACAGTCCATTGCAGTATCAACAAAATATTTGCAAGAATAGCATAAACCTATCAACCAAAAAATTATTATGGATGTTTATAGGACAAAATTAAAATTAAAATACATAATAATAATCTAGAGAGTCTCTCAAAAATTAATTCCTGACAACAGTCTCTTGGGGCTGGAAACATCCTACGCTTGTAGGGCTCAAATCCATTTCTTCTTCTTGTTGGAAAATGGTTTCGTGGCACATCAAATCCGGAACGATATTGACTTGATTCGCCTGATTCAGTTGAGCTTCCGGAGACATGGCGACGCCTTGATTCGAGTAATCGTCGTACCCGGAATCCGAACTGTTATCGCTGTAGCTACCCTTGCTCGCTACTACTACGATTGGAGTTTGAGTGATTTGAGCCTTGGCTTTGCACATGGTGATACGTCTCTGGCACGGTTTCATTGTGCCCAGTTCCAACATGATTTCATTGGATTGACCGCGGAAGATTGTACCACAGCATGTAGCTTCCCTATTGAAAAAATTGATTAAATCATAGCAGAAGTGGGGTTGGGGATAAATTTTGGATGGATTTTTGATGGATAATTGAAATTCTTATGTCTGATCCTGTTTAGAGTATTCATGAAAATTTAAAGTTGGTTCTAAAGTGTTATGTAACAATTTCCAAGATATTCTGAAAGTTTCCAGATTTAGATTGCTTCCAAAAGTTCCATATGATTTGTAGAGTGTTCTATAGCGTTCCAAAATACTTCTGGAAAGTTTGACTCGGATATAAACCAAAACTTTAAAGTATCTTAAGCTTTTTTAGATGTTCCTGAAAGTTCGGAAGTGTTCTGATCCATTATAGAATGTTTCTCGAATTCTAATTTGATACTAAAATGTTCTGGAGCGTTTTAAAATGTATTTGAAAGTTCCAATTTGTCTCAAACTAATGCAGAAGGATTGAAAATTGAATTGATACCAGTGTTGCCAGAATTGAAGAATTTCCTTCGATATGAAGGGTTTTGATCTAAAATTTTGACTACTGAAGGCCAAACTGCACAAATTGCATCAACGAAGAAGATCTGACAGGCTTGACAACTGCCAACATTGTGAAATTGTGTTTTAAAAATAGTGAACTTTTAAGCAACATCGTCTTCCAACTACAAGAAAATAACGACCTTCTTAGGGAGAAAGTTCATTCGCTTGAAGAAAAACTGGAAAAATTCGAGGAAAAGGTATTGGGTCTTCAGAAAAAAAACCAATCAAAGATTGCTATGGTTTTTTAAACGTATGTCTTAGCACTATTTTCTATTAATTTTGACAATGTCAGTCAATGAAATTTCATGTCAAAATGTCATGTCAAAAATCCTGACCAATAAAGAAACAATAATGCGACGTACGTTTTCGTAACCAAAGCAATCTTTGATTGGTTTTTTTTTTTGAAGACCTGATAGCTAAGCCAAAAATGCTAGAAGAGGTTAGGTTTATCTCCGCAACCTCCGCCACCGCAGGAACTTGCCCCACAAGTCGTGCTTCAACAAATGTCAAAGTCATCATCAGTGAAGTCAACACCAAGGAAGTACCAAGGCTGTGGCCCGAATATAACCAGGGTTGTGGTTTTGCGGTCCGAAAGTAATCAAATCACTCTGGTTCCTGGAAAAGTGGTTACTTTTGGACCTCAGTTTCCCGAAATCTGGTTAACCAAATATCAAAATAGTTACCGGCCATCTGATGTCGGTTCTGTTGGTTTTATCCAATGAACTATAACCAAAAACTGGAATGCTAACACATAAGGAAGAACGTGAAGCCTAGTGCAGCTGCTGTGGAGGGGATACCTGTTTTTGTCGCACTCATTATGTTAAATGGCGAAAATTGCTTCCAACACGTATTCCAATTGATGATACCTGTGAAGGAAAATATAACAAACTTTCGAAAACGTCATATGTCAGCGAGCAACAGAAAAAAACAACATTCCCCCTTGTGGCATCTGTCTTTCATGGCTTCATTTTTTGGGCAGATATGGCAATGTGCGCGCATTCCAGTTTTTGGCTATAGTTCATTGGTTTTATCTGTGATTTCTGTCAATTATATTTTATTTCCTATTTGCGTTCCTTAAGTAACCGGAATTTTCAGTAACCATCTGTTAACCGATTCGGTTACTTTGGTTAACGTTTAGTCATATTCGGAGCATAGCCCAAATATCAAGGCACCGGTTCCATGCGACACAAGTGGTACTGCAATTATGGTAGCAGATGCCAAAAATGATACTGCAGAACCTGACATTAGGCAATGCAATCCATCTGTCAAAATAAAAATTCAATATGGCGTGGCGGCCAAGTTTATTTTGGATATGTGTTTTTTAATTATTTTGCTTCCGAGTTTTGCTTGCAACTTTGATTTCGATTATTTAATAAAATATTTGTTGACTAGGTATAGTCTGGCTAGCCAAACGGCGAACTCCAAAAGAATTTGCTGCTTTGCCAAACTTGACGGAAACAATGATAAACAAGTTGGTGACATATTTTTTTTGCTGTATGGGCATGTGTAGTATTTCGAAATAGAAAAAAATCCGGCAACATTGCGAAATGATGGATGTGGAGAGGCGTGATTATTCAGAGGCATGATTCTATTGGTTAGAGTCTGAACGACAGCACGCAGTGGCGTGGTTATTGGCGAAACTAGAGAATTTTCTCCTAATAATTTTATTGATTTATTTCCTTGGTGTTTCCGGTGCCACTGAACCGAAAGCCATGGCTGTCATCAGGCGGTGTCAGTTGAGGTGTCAGTGGATATTTTTAGGTTACGCCCCAGTTTTCTTCCCCCTTTCGTCTCTACCAAGTTACCACTTGCCAAACTATACGTAAACTCTTTAACACAATTTTATCTCAAGAACTAGAAGTCCAAATAAATTGAAATTTTCAGGGATTGAAGTCCTCTACTGGAAAGGGAATCGCAGAAAATTTCAGCTTTCTATCTATAATAGAAAAAAAGTTATGACCTTTCGACGTTTTCCAAAATCTAAATCATAAGCTACCTTCTCACTAAAACGATGAAATTTCAATTTTTTTTCTGTTGAGATTTTGTATCCTAATGGTCATTTGATATCCCCCGAACTCCTTACACCAATTTATTCCCAGATTTGAAGCCGAAATCTATGAAAAAAGGCACTCACAAAAATTCAAATTTTTTATAAATCACCCCAAATTGCTTAGCACGATTTTATCTCAGGAACTATAAGTCCAAATGAGTGGAAATGTTCAGGGATTGTAGTCCTCTACTGGAATAAAAATCGTTGAAAATTTCAGCTTTCTATCTATAATAAAAAAAAAGTTATGACCTTTCAAAGTTTCCCAAACTCTAAATCATAAGGCAGCTACTACCTTCTTACTAAAACGATGAAATTTCAATTTTTGATGATATTTTTTTAAAAAACATGTTGAGATTTTGTGTCCTGATGGTCATTTGATATTCTTCGAACTCCATACGCCAAGTTATTCCCAAATTTGAAGCCGAAATGTATGAAAAATGCACTCAGATAAATTGAAAAATGATAAATCACCCCTCGAATCGCCCCAAATTGCTAAACACGATTTTATCTCAGGAACAATAAGTCCAAAGGAGTTGAAATTTTCAGGGATTGAAGTACTCTAACTGAAATAAGAATCGCTGAAAATTTCAGCTTTCCATCTATAATAGAAAAAAAGTCATGACCTTTCAAAGTTTTCCAAAATCTAAATCATACTTCTTACTAAAACGATGAAATTTCAATTTTTTTTCTATTAGGATTTTGTGTCTTAATGATCACTTGGGATTCCCCGAACTCCATACACCAAGTTATTCCTAAATTTGAAGCCAAAATGTATGAAAAAAGGCACTCAGAAAATTTGATAAATCACCCCAAATTGCTTAACACAATTTTATCTCAGGAACTATAAGTCCGAATGAGTTGAAATTTTCAGGGTTTGAAGTCCTCTACTGGAATAAGAATCGCTGAAAATTTCAGCTTTCTATCTATAATAGAAAAAAAGTTGTGTTACGTTCTACAATATTCTTAAAGATACCAATTTGTCTCAAACAAATACAGGAATTGAATAGAAAGTCTTCTGAAGCTTATCAAAGTTCTAAATTGCTCTAGAGCGTCTTGAAATATTTAAATTTCAGTTCTCTACTACAGTTTTTAATTGATTTCTTAGTGATTTTGAAGTGCAGGAATGTTCTAGAAGTTATCAGAAATCTTACAAATGTTCTAGAGCGCTCTTTGATACAAACACAAATATCCATCAAAACCACAAATATCTATCAAAAACATCAAAAATCCAAAACCAAAAATCGAATTCTCTATCCACTATAATTCAATAATTATTATTGTCACTTACTTTTTCCAATAGTCCAAATCAATAAACCCGCATACGTTGTGGCGCGCCTGGTTCCATTTCTTTGATTTCCCCTTACGCCTCCGGCTTCTGTTTTTCTGCTCTACAGTGTCTTCGTTGTCGCTTACTCCAGGGCTACCATTATGAGACGAGCTCATGCTAAAATAGAGAATAGTATAAAAATATTGGCTTTGTATGTTTTTCTAAATAATGTCAGCCTACCTTGGAGCTTCTTCTGACAGGAAGTCAATGTCATTGATGTCCATGTCTTCGCTTTTGTCCGAAAGGGCCGGACTGTACTCCCTATAAAAATTGATAAAATTTTTGCTATTTTATTTGCAACAGGGAAAAGCAAAATAAATTTTAATCAAAATCAAAAATTCAAAGTAAAATAGTATAAAGTAGAATTTTACTCGAACATTTCATGGCAATTTTATGTAAGTCAACACAAAGTGAAATTATATACTTACATATAATTTGATGGAAAATCTGCGAATATTTTATAATTTTTTTTTTCGAAATACCACTGAAATTCTCCAAAATTCTATAGAAATTCCAAATTCCATAATTTTTTTAAACCTTTACTGAAATTCCCCAAAACTTCACCACTGAAAAATCCTGGAATTCCACAAAATTATCATAAAATTTTTCGGAATTTCACTGACATTTCCTGTAATTTTTTAGAAATTCTTCGGAATCACACTAAAATTTTATGAGAATTTTTTGAAATTTCACTGAAATTCCACGTTATTAGTCAAAAATTTCTCGAAATTCCAATTAAACTTCAAATTTTTTTTCAAAATTTCATTTACGTATTTCCATATGAATTTTTTAGAATTTCACTGAAATTCCTCGAAATTCATGTAATTTTTTGAAACTTTTTTATGTAATTTAACGAGCACTGAAATTTCATGTTGGGAATTTCAGTGTAATTGACGTGTCTCATAATACCTGGTGTGCGCGCGCAACTCGTGGGTTGCAGGTGAGCGTCCAATGAAAATCGAGTTTGTTACGGGCTTGCGTCATATTCGTATTTAGGGACGAGTTAAGAATTAATCGTTTCTTCTCTCTTTATAACGTGTAATTCGACAAAGAGCAAACTAATACTTTACGTATTACTTGAACATATCCCAGTGTCGTTTAAGGTTATGTTAAATTATACTTGACATATTTTCATTGTGCGATATTGCCGGATGAAGCATTTATCAAAATAAAAGTGCCATCGGTGTTAATATACACTTTAAAGCTTTTCTTTTGTCTGATTCAAGGCGTTGTAGAACACTTGACAATATATCACTTCTTTAATGTTATAATCTTCGATTTGTATTGTCTACATTTGTTCTGCAACAATACAATCTACACTGCAGCCACGAGTTGCGCGCGCATGTCATTTTTTATTACTTTCCAACTTGAATTTATTAGAATTAAGCTCTCTTTTTCTATTTCTGCGAGACACGTCAATTCCATGTAATTGTTTAGAATTCCTCCATGCAACTAATTCAGGATTTCATATAATTCGAGCGAAATCCCACTGAAATTTCATGTAATTTCTCGAAATTTCAGGTAATTCGAGAGGAACTAAAATTTAAGTGAATTCTATGGAAACTCCAAAAAAATTGCACATGTCACATTTCACACCATAAAATTCAATGGGATTCTTGGAATTTTTTTTTTCTTCGGAATTACAATATAGGATTTTATGAAATTCTTCGGAATTCCACTAAAATTTCAAGTAATTCCATAGAAATTCCTTAGAATTTCCGCAGAAGATTTTATGGAATTCCTCAAAATTCCATATTTCATACTCGGAATTACACTATGAAATTTCAGGAAATTCTTCGGAATTCCACTAAAGTTTCAAGTTATTCCATAGGAATTCCGCGAAAATTTTAAGTAATTCCATAGAATTTCCTTTCACCAGAAGATTTTATGGAATTCTTAGATTTTTTTTTTTTTTCGGAATTACAGTATAGGATTTCATGAAATTTCTCCGAATTCCACTAAAATTTCAATTTTAAAATTACATTTTTTTTTTTTAATTTTATTGAAATTTTACCACTGAAATATCCTGGAATTCCACAAAATTTTCATAATTCTTGGGAATTTCATTCACATTTTATATAATTTCTTAACAATTCCTCGGAATTCACTAAAATTTTATAAAAATATTTTGCAGTTCCACGTTCATAGCCGAAGATTTCTCCAAAGTCCAATGAAACTTCAAGGAATTTTTCAAAATTTAATTTATTTTCATAAGAATTTTTCGGAATTTCATTGAAATTCTCTTTTAATAGCCAGGAATTTCTAGGAATATTATTGAAGCTTCAAGTAATTTCTTGAAAATTCACCAAAATATATTGAAATTTCGTGTCATTACATGGGAATTTTTCCGAATATCACCGAAATTCCTCGGCATTCCACTTGTGGAATTTTCTGGAATTTTACTAAAATTCAGTAAGAACTGAAATTTCATGTTGGGAATTTCGGTGTAATTTCATATAATTGTTTAAAATTCCTCCATGTTATTCATTTAGGATTTCATGTAATTCGAGAGGAATTAAAATTTAATGTGAATTCTATGGAAACTCCGCAAAAATTTCACATGTAATTCCTTGTTCAGAATAACATAATTATTCTACCGAAATTCCACTAAATTATGGAATTCTGAGAGACTTTAACAGATTTTTGGAAATTTCAAAGGAAATATTTTTTAGGAATGTTAATGATTTTATGAGATTTTGCTGGATTTTTTTGGTTTTAATGAAATTTTGTTGGATTTTGTAGGATTTAATGCAATTTCAAGAGGTTTTGTTAAATTTTTAAGAATTTCAAATTTTTTTAGGGATTTTGAGTAGATCTTATGAGATTTTCTGAGATTTCGACCAACTTGTACACGGATTTTGACCACCCCTCGGAAAATTCGCATTTACTAAAATTAATTTTAAGTCCAATATCAGAGCATGATTTTGTCAATACTTCTAAATCGGAGAAAACTGTATCTGGATCGCCAGCCAAAATTCCATCATCCAGATACGTTTCGATTTAGGTTTTGCAACCATGGAATGCAGTGACAAACAAAATAATGGTGGACCTTGTTAAGATTTCTGTTTTATGATACACTAAAATCCGAGCTAAGATCATATCTATAGTTTTGTAATTGTTCAGTATTTATATAGGCATAGATTAGGTATAGATTACCTGGATTGTGACACCAGAAAAAAAATGTTAGAAGTTTGACTTTTCAGTAAAGGTTGTCAATTCAATCCACAGAACATTCAATCCAAGTTGAATCAATAAATTATTGAAAAGTATTGGAGTTTCAGTGGTTTTCCTTGAAATATTACATGAGACCTAACGGACCCCCTTGCTGCACACCTCTCTGTGAGGAAACAATATGATCACCAAAAGAAAGGTATGAAGGAGTCTGATAGCATTGGAAAGTAAAGTTGTAGAAATCTGGTATTATTTCCCTGACCTTTTATTTAAAATAGCTCCACAATATACATTTTTCACCTGTAGGCCGTGCGCGAACAAATGATAAGATTTCACATGACAACGGTCCACAGATTAACCCGTCCTAAAGATAGGAAACTTCCATGTAAAATGTTCGTTCAGAGCTGTCTAAAAAATAACACGTTTGAGAGTTTTATGACTGCCAAAGCTATGCGGCGCTAGTATACAAAGCCACAAGCAAATGTCATCTGTGAACTGTGAATGGTGAATATAATTTGTCAATGTGTTTGTCATCAGTTAGCCGTTTGATATGTGTTAGTGTTGTCTTTTATTTAATTTCCTATCAATTATTGATAAAACATTGACTTGTTATTATGTTTTTAAAAAAAGACTTTATGTTACATTCAAACATAGTGGAAATGCTCGTGGAAATGAGATTAGTGATGGTTTTTATTCGCCATTGTTTGACATTCACATGAAGTGTGATTTGTGCACCAAATAAGACCAAAATTCCTAAAAATATACCTTCATTTAGTATAGGTATTACTGCAGTGGAAGCTTCTGAATTCATGACATCGCCACTTTATTCTCGGAGACTTTGCTGAGTGTGGAGTTAGTGAATTTTATTTGCAGTATTATAAACTTTTTATTGTTTTTTTTTTCTATTATGCTGTTCTAATAAAGAAGGAGATGGTACTAAAATGTTGTTTTATTTCAAAAAAAAAGAGATAATAAAATGAAATCGATTAGGGACAAATAATTTGAAAAAAGGCGGGAAACCACGTGACTACTGCTACAACACTGAACACACTGAAGTGCACACTAGCGCCCCCATGCTGTGGCAGTCATACAACTCGTTGTATGAGTAAGACAAGGATAGGGGAAAAGGCACGAGTTTCCTATCTTTAGGACGGGTTAATCTGTGCAACGGTCAGTCAAACAGTTATGCCCAGTAGTTGAAAAGCGGCACAAAGAAAAATCTGAGAACAATGTATTTTCCCACAAAACTGATTCTGGTCGCTGGCTTACTGTTGATTTTCGCGACTCTGGCGGCACAATCTCTAGAGTGCTACCATTGTAACGATGAGAAAGGTGAGTGCAAAAACGCTAAAGTGAAGACGTGCACGACGCGCGACGGCTGGAACAGAAGCGGCGGCAACTCCAGCAAAAGCAACAGCCGGCGAGGCGGCTTCGTCACCAGCTGCCCGTGAGCACGGTGAGGATAAGTATACGGACTCAGATGAAAAGCCTGCCAGTGCCAAAGAGGCTTCGGAGACGGCTGCAGCTGAAACAACTGCAGCTGCTGCGGCTGCAGAATCATCAGCAGCTGGAGGAGGAGAATCTGCAGGATCAGTATCACCTGAGGCATTTATCCAACATGATGACAATTCTTCATCCACTGAAAACTGGTTTTGTGCTACGCTCAAGGGTAAACGATTCCGCGGCCACATTCAAGGGATGTTCTTTGACAAAAGACGAATGCAGATTAATAGACCCCAAAAATCCTGGTTTTACAGCAAAATCCTGCAAAACGTGTGATAAGGATAAGTGCAACAGTGGTTTTAACATGAAGCCAACCACTTTGCCATTTTGCTTGTTGTTGTCATGTCATTAATATGCTTTATACATTTCTAAATTATTTGTTTTCAATATAGGTAATGCTCCTGATTAGATTTTGGGTTTTGACAAAAATATATTTAGAACCTTATGGAAAATTTGGCAATGCTTACCTCTCAAAATGCTTCTTCTTGATCTTGTCAACGCTCTTCTCTCCACTGAGCTTCTTGTTCTTTGTTTTGAACTTGGTGAAAGATTTCATTCCGGGACCGGCGCGCGCGTCTACCACCTGAGAAGGATTCCAAAGATGCATTCTTGTGTATTTAAACATTTTCAAAAGGAAATTATCGAATCAGTAGTAGAAATTCAAAAAGTCTGACAAAGTTTTCGATATTATTTTGAAAGAAACGCTTTTCGTTTGTTTTCTTGTTGATTCGATCCCAAGGCAACTTGCAGTTGACGGTGTCAGATAGATTTGTCAAGTTAATTAGGCAATCCAACGACCTGTCAAAAATGGCGCCTGGTTGGCGAACAATAGACAAAAGAGATATGTTTTCTTTTGGCGAGAGTAACAATATCAATACACATTCAGCTCTTGCAGGCATAAAGAAATCTGACACTTTTCTAACATCGTTGACATTTAAAAAATTCTTACCTCATAAAAATTTAAAAAGTAAATTCATCTGTCAAAATAAAAATTCAATATGGCGTGGCGGCCAAGCAAGTTTATTTTGAATATGCGAATTTTAATTATTTTGCTTCGAGTTTTGCTTGCAACTCTGATTTTGATTATTTAATAAAATATTTGTTGACTAGGTCCGTAAACTCTTTAACACGATTTTATTTCAGGAACTATAAGTCCAAATAAGTAAAAATTTTCAGGGATTGTAGTCCTCTACTGAAATCGCTGAAAATTTCAGCTTTCTATGTATAATAGAAGAAAAGTTATGACCTTTCAAAGTTTTCCCAAATCTAAATCATAAGGTACTACCTTCTTACTAAAACGATGAAATTACAATTTTTTTTTTTGTCGAGATTTTGTGTCCTGATGGTCATTTGATATCCCCCGAACTCCATACACCAAGTTATTCCCAGATTTGAAGCCCAAATCTAGCACTAGGCACTCAGAAAAATTAAAAAATTGATAAATCACCCCAAATTGCTTAACACGATTTTATCTCAGGAACTATAAGTCCAAATAAGTAAAAATTTTCAGGGATTGTAGTCCTCTACTGAAATAAGAATCGCTGAAAATTTCAGCTTTCTAAGTATAATAGAAGAAAAGTTATGACCTTTCAAAGTTTTCCCAAATCTAAATCATAAGTTAGCTACCTTCTAGCTAGAACGATGAAATTTCAATTTTTTTGTTGTTGAGATTTTGTGTCCTAATGGTCATTTGAGACCTTCCGAACTCCATACACTAAGTTATTCCTAGATCTGAAGTAGAAACCTATGAAAAAAGGCACTCAGAAAAATTGAAAAATTGATAAATCACCCCAAATTGCTTAACACGATTTTATCTCAGGAACTATAAGTCCAAATGAGTTGAAATTTCCAGGGATTGAATTCCTCTACTGAAATAAGAATGACTGAAAATGTCAGCTTTCTATCTATAATAGAAAAAAAGTTATGACCTTTCAAAGTTTTCCCAAATCTAAATCATAAGGTCCAAACCTTCTTACTAAAACAATGAAATTTCAAATTTTTTTTTGTTGAGATTTTGTAGCCTAATGGTCATTTGATATCCCCCGAACTCCATACACCAAGTTATGCCCAGATTTGAAGCCGAAATCTATGAAAAAAGGCACTCAGAAAAATTAAAAAATTGATTAAATCACCCCAAATTGCTTAACACGATTATTTATCTCAGGAACTATAAGTCCAAATGAGTTGAAATTTTCAGGGATTGAAATCCTCTACTGAAATAAGAATCGCTGAAAATTTCAGCTCTCTATCTATAATAGAAAAAAAATTATGAAGTTTCAAAGTTTTCCAAAATCTAAATCATAAGGTACTACCTTCTTACTAAAACGAAATTAAAATTTTTTTTTGTCGAGATTTTGTGCCCTGATGGTCATTTGATATCCCCCGAACTCCATACACCAAGTTATTCCCAGATTTGAAGCCGAAATCTAGCACTAGGCACTCAGAAAAATTAAAAAATTGATAAATCACCCCAAATTGCTTAACACGATTTTATCTCAGGAACTATACGTCCAAATGAGTTGAAATTTCCAGGGATTGAAGTCCTCTACTGAAATAAGAATCACTGAAAATTTCAGCTTTCTATCTATAATAGAAAAAAGTTATCACCTTTCAAAGTTTTCCCAAATCTAAATCTAAGCTACATTCTTACTAAAACGATGAAATATCAATTTTCGTTTTTGTTGAGATTTTGTGTCCTAATGGTCATTTGATATCCCCGGAGCTTCATATACTAAATTATTCCCAGATATGAATCCGAAATCTATGAAAAAAGGCACTCAGAAAAATTGAAAAATTGATAAATCACCCCAAATTGCTTAACACGATTTTATCTCAGGAACTATAAGTCCAAATGAGTTGAAATTTTAAGCAATTGTAGTCCTCTACTGGAATAAGAATCGCTGAAAATTTCAGCTTTCTATCTATAATAGAAAAAAAGTTATGACCTTTCAAAGTTTTCCCAAATCTAAATGATAAGGTAAAAAATTGAAGAATTGATAAATCACCCCAAATTGCTTAAGTTTGACAGAAACTAGATATTGTTTTTGTGCTTGTGTTGTGACCCATGTGTGGCGGCCACGCCATCTTGAATATCAAGTGGTTTGGATTGCCCAATAACGGCTGGTTTGCAAACTCACGTGGTTTGGATCTGGCATTGACACATTTGACAGATTTTAAATGAAATCATTATTCTGTCCCTTTTTCCCTTATGTGTTTTGTATTTTTTGCTCACGGTTTCAGATATCAAACTCGCTTCTTGTTGTTGCACTGAAGGCCGTCCCACACGGTTTTGCATAACACATAAGCATAAACCCCCCAACCAACCAAAGATTGTATTAAAGGTGACCTGACTGTGAACTGAAAATCAGTTGACCTTTAATACAACCTGTGATTGGTAGAGACTTTATGCTTGTGCGTTATACAAAACCATGTGTGACGGCCTTTAACTTGAACTGAGTGCAAAATATTCCAAGTCACTAGTTTAACCAATAGTTTAGCTGTTGATTAACTGATCATTATCATTGGTTAACCGACAGCTAAACTAGATAACCGTCCACTGATAAACCGGTCCTAAGACTTGGATTTGAATTTTCTTTTTATATAAAAATGATTATCTAAGAAGTATGAGGTATTTTTATGGATGAAGTAAAGACTAGAAATAACATGTGTTTTGGGGAAAACTGTCTAGCTCTGTATTATTTCTCAGTCTAGGCTGGAAAAGTGGTATTTTCTCTCTTGCCTAAAAATAACTTACATGTTGCCAATGCCGGTCCGAACCAACGGGCAATTTCTTCCATCTTTTGACCAGCAAAACGCACGCGTTGCAAATCTCTCCTTGCCTGGGAGTGACCAGTTTGAAGCACTCGAGGAAATCTTCTTCGTATTTTTTACTATCCGTGAATCTAGAACTAATTTTGTAGGTTTTAGAATCAGTTTTAGCAATAAGAGATTAACGTTTTATTACCTGCTTGATTTCGCTTTGCAAATGCAACAGCCCGTCGAGGACCTATAGACTTTTGGTTTGTGAAATGAAAACATGGTGGTTGGGATGAGTGTGATGAGAACTGGCCTAAATGGACCTAGAAAAAAAAAAAAAAAAAATATTATTTTATATTGAAGATGCTTTTACGGACCAACAGATTAATAAATAAAGTTAGAGTAAGGTGTAAGGTACATACATTCAAGATTGGGTAAAGTTTGTTTCGCCAGGGTTTGTACTTGCCACCAGCATTTGCCTTCCTTGTTTAACAAATAAAAACTGACTGAAACAAATCAAAGACGTCAAAAACGTTCGTCGGTTCTTAAACCAGAAGTCATTCATTTTAAATTGTCAAAAAATTGAATGTGTCATATAAATTAATCTATGACAACCCTTTTGTTTCAAGTTTCAAGGTCAAGTATGAACCCTGGTGAAACGAACCTTACTTAGAAAAGGCAATCATAATAATGCTTACTATTCGCCTAAAGGTCAGGGAGTCCCCGAATTTGAAGGGGAAACGTCTATACATTATTTGATACATTATAGTAGTTTTTAGGCGTTATCTAGATTTGGACTAATAAAATATTGAAAAAGTTTGTAATCAAGCAAAAAGCTTTAATTCTCTTCAGAGTTCCATCTCGCTAAAGCTGGGAGACGAAGTTCAGCCATTTTCATAATGATATCCACATTAAAATGTAGGCATTTTCTTATGCCAAAAACCTCATGCAAGGAAAATATCACATACATATGTTGCTTTCAAGATATTTCAGTTGTTCATGGATCTTAACATTGAATCTATTAATTATTCACGCATAAAAATGTTGCCACACCTCCATTTGTATGTATTTTTATAACATGTGCATTTAAAAATAAAACAAAAACAAGGCCACCAGAGTCAAAAAACAAATAAGTTCATAACAGCCTGGGCCAAAAAAAAAAAAAAAAAAAAATGTGCAACCCGTCCTTAGGAGGTAGTAAACAAAATTCCAGACTCAAGTCAATGGTCTACTTTCTGTTTTAGCGTAACGTCTCTCTCTCTTGCTTGTAGAATTTTATGCGATGGTACTGGTGCTAAAAATAGCCAGTACCAGTGGGACGACTATTTGGTATATAAATGACAGTAAATTATCTGCCGACTGCAACCTAGAGGTGCATTTTATGCAACTTTGATTCTGGTTTTTAATGCAGGGTTCACAGAACTAATATTTGATTGACATCTAAGAAAACCAATACACCAATATTTGCTATTATTTTAGGAAAAATAACATGCTGAGACACCCTTGAGCTTAAAACAAACAAACATCTAATTGAAAATTATTATTTTAATTCACAATATGCATTAGCCTTGAACATTGAATTATAATAATAATTAATATATATTTTCTAGAATAATTAGCACTAGCATCTAATAATTATTGCAAGTATTAAAATTTTAAAATATTGAAAGGTATCACTGAAATGTTATCATAAAGCTATTAAAAGACAAACAATAAAAATCTTATCTTAAAATTGGGCATGTCATCAAACAACAGATATTATCATTGTTTGATGACGATATCGGCTTTGAAAGGAATAATTCTTTGGGCTAGTGAAAAAATTGCAGAAGATTATTCTGAACTGAGTACAGCATTTTTTTTCAAATTATATGAACATTAACAAGCAAGTGTTTTCAATTTTATCTACCAATCCTGACATGTTTACAATGGTCGAGGGGACAATTTATCGTTTTGTTATTTGGATTATTATTAACATCAACTGCATAAAAATGTCATAATGCTATTTTTGTTCTGATGAGTATCTGTGTTTACTAGACTTACGGACTTATCGTAGGTCATGTTTACATCTGCGAATAAGTATACTATTTATTATTGTTATCAATAATGATTCCGAGAATTAAAAATTGAGAAGCATTAAGATTGATAATAATGTTTGTTGTTGTTTGCTGGAGGCATATAATTATTACAATATATGACAAAAGAAAAACGTATTAATAAAAACCAGGAAAATGCCCAAAAAATTCTCCCCAATAGAAGAAAAAAAGGTTGTTAACCCGGGCACGCAATGAAGCGATCAAACAGTAGGTTATGGTTGGGAGTTTATGCACTGTAAATAATTATTTCAGTCCTACAATAACATGTGGAGGACTACAAGCCCTGAAATATTCAGCTCAGTTCGGAAAATTCTATAAACTTCTATATAATTCTATTTGGAAACTGTAAGTAATAAGAGATTAGTGACTTAATTACTGGGTACGACATCGAAAAATCAGCTAAACAAGCGGTTTTTCTCGAGGATTTTCTCTAAAATTCCATGGTGATCCAATTAAAAAAGAAACTTTAATAGGATTCCATTTAGCAACTGTAAGTGATATAAGAATAGTGACTGTATTGCTGGCTTCAACATCTAAAACAAGCTCAAAAGCCGATTTTCTGGGAAATTTTAGAAATTGTCATAGAATCCCATTGGAAAACTGTGAGTGATACAAGAATAGTGGCTTCATTAGTGATTTCGATATCAAAAAACAAGTCCACAGAGTGTTTTTTCCGAGGGCTTTCCTCTCGGTTTTCCTAAAATATTTCATTGTGTTCTATTTTAAAATTTCACTTCATCACAGAACTTTAGGATCAAAATCAAGTTTCAAGAAATATACAGAATATTTTATGATGAATAGATGAAAGCAAACCGACGGCATTAGAAATGGAGCAAGTTAATCAAATCTTGTCAGACTTCATGAAAATTATGGAGGACAAGAGACAAAGAGGAAGACTGATGACAAAAGGAAAAGCTCGAGGAAAAACTGGAAGAAGTTCGAGGATGGAAAGAAAAACAAGGAGAACAAGACCGGCTTGCATTGCTTGCAACTTTTTTACAACAAGAAGCCCAAAGACACAAAAAGAAACAAAAAGAATAAATAAGAAGACCGGAAACAGAAAGAACAGGACCGGCTTGCAGCATTTTTACAAGAAGATTGAATATAGATAAAAAACAAGAAGAACAGGACTGGCTTCAGGCAAATTTGCCTAAACATGTATAATTTTTTTCAGCGGAAATGGCAACAAGTGCAAGCAAGAAAATACCCGATTAATGAATTGTGTGTTTTCTTGGTTTTTGTTTAAAATTATAGTTTACAAAGTTTTTATTCATAAACATCCACAATACAAATTATAGATAATAATAATATAATCTGTTAGACTGTTGGAAACATATCCTAACCCAAAATTGACTAAAATGGTAAAAATTGTCCAATTTGATTGGCTACTGAACATACGACGAATGGTGGAGTTGAAAGTCTACCAAGGAGGAACGATGCGGTTCGGAAAGGAAACGACGACCGGTGGAGTTTATATAAATCAGGCTTTAGAGTTAATTTCAAATACTAAAGTTTATTCACAAAACTGGCATGGTGAATGTTCGGGAGCGTTCGTTACATGCGCTAATAATTCCACTCTATTTCCTGCATATTTGCTCGATATTTCTTGATAATACCTCGATATTTCCTAATAATACCCTGATATTTCCTGATAATGTCCCGATATTTCCTAATAATACCTCATATTTCCATTATTTCCCCATATTGCAATGTATTTCCTTATATTTCTCCTTAATACCTAATATTTCCCTGTATTTACCCGTATTGACATATTTCCCCAGGTTGGTGACAATAATTCCAAGGTGGTTTACCCCCTGGGGAGCTCCCTCGGTAGCTCCCTTATAATTTGGATTTTTGAAAACTTTGAAAAATCATAATTTTTTTTCTATTATAGATAGAAAGCTGAAATTTTCAGCGATTTTTATACCAGTAGAGGACTACAATCCCTGAAAATTTCAGCTCTTTTGGACTTATAGTTCCAGAAATGAAATCGCGTTAAGCAATTTGGGGTAAATTTATCATTTGTCAATTTTTCTGAGTGCCTTTTCTCATATATTTCGGCTTCAAATCTCAGAATAACTTAGTGTATAGAGTTTGGGGGGTCCCGAATGATCATTTAGACACAAAATCTCAACAAAAAAATTTGAAAATTTACCATTTCAGTACTGAGGTAAGGTTTGTTTCGCCAGGGTTTGTACTTGCCACCAGCATTTACCTTCCTTGTTTAACAAATAAAAATTGACTGAAACAAATTAAATACGTCAAAAACGTTCATCGGTTCTTAAACCAGAAGTCATTTATATTGATTTGTCAAAAAAATTGAATGTGTCATATGAATTAATCTACGACAACCCTTTTTTTTTCAAGTTTCAAGGTCAAGGATGAACCCTGGTGAAACGAACGTATTTTTGAAAACTTTGAAAAATCATAAATATTTTTCTATTATAGATGGAAAACTGAGATTTTCAGAGATTCTTAGTCCAATAGACTATAGAGGACTACAATCCCTGAAAATTTCAGCTCATTTGTACTAATAGTTTCAGAAATAAAATTGCATTAAGCAATTTGGGGTTTTATCATTTTCCAATTTATCTGAGTGCCTTCTCTCATAGATTTCGGCTTCAAATCTCAGAATAACTTAGTGTATAGAGTTTGGGGGTTCCCGAATGATCATTTAGACACAAAATCTCGATATTAAAAAAAATTGAAATTTTACCATTTCAGTACTGAGGTAGCTCCCTTATGATTTGTATTTTTGAAAACTTTAGAAAATCATGATTTTTTTTCTATTATAGATAGAAAACTGAAATTTTCAGGGATTCTTATCCAAGGAGAGGCCTACAATCCCTGAAAAATTCAACTCATTTGGACAATCTCAGGATAATTTAGTGTACAGAGTTTGAGAGATCCCAAATGATCATTACCTACACACAATATCTCAATATAAAAAAAATTGAAATTTTATCATTTACTTACATACTTTGAAACATCATAACTTTTCTCTATTATAGATAGAAAGTTGAAATTTTCAGCGATTTTTATTCCAGTAGAGGACTACAATAAAATTTCAGCTCTTTCGGACTTATAGTTTCAGAAATGAAATCGCGTTAAGCAATTTGGGGTTAATTTATCATTTTCCAATTTTTCTGAGTGCCTTTTCTCATAGATTTCGGCTTCAAATCTCAGAATAACTTAGTGTATAGAGTTTGGGGGGGTCCAGAACTTGAATTTGAAAATTTACCGTTTCAGTACTGAGGTAAGTAGGTTCCTTATGATTTGTATTTTTGAAAACTTTGAAAAATCATAAATATTTTTCTATTATAGATAGAAAACTGAGATTTTCAGAGATTCTTATCCAAGTAGAGGCCTACAAACCCTGGAAAATTCAGCTCATTTGGCTTATAGTTTCAGAAATAAAATTGCGTAAGCAATTTGGGTTAAATTTATCATTTTTCAATTTTTCTGAGTGCCTTTTTTCATAGATTTCGGCTCCAAATCTCGGAATATTTTAGTGTATAGAAATTGAGAGGTCCCAAATGATCATTTAGACACTATATCTCAACATAAAAAAATTTGAAGGTTTACCATTTTAGTACTAAGGTATTCTCAGTTCCAGAGATAAAGTCCCTTTTAGCAATGTGGAATGATATTTTCCAAGAATTATTCTACAACGGCCTGTATTAGGAAAATAATCTTGTGAACCTAATGGATTTATTGAAGCTTGATATAGCTGAAGAGCCAAAGAAACCAATCTTCACTAAAAAATTTAAACAACAAATCAAAAATTGAAAATTTGCATCTGAGCTACAACAATGAGTTTTACTTGGAGTTTTATCTGTCGCTGATGTAGCTAGGACCATCAAATAAAAACCCAGAGAAGCTTCAAAATCTAAAGTAACTCAAAAATGTATAAAAGTTGCTAAATGTCCCAATAATGAAGCTGGACATTTGACTAGAAAGAAGTACTTGTAAGAAACAAGTTTCTGATTAATTGAATGGTTGCGCACAATTGGGCAAAACAAAGGCGTGTAGAGATTATTGATAGAAATTTAGACCAAAAGTATTAGGAGAATTTTTGACCTGTTCTCAGATCTAAAGGGTCTGTGAAGGCTACACAAAAAAAGATCAAATAAAATCAGAAGAAAGCCCTCTAATCTTTATTATTATTTTGCAACTCCTATTTTTGTATTCGATTTGTTGATTTCGATCTTATTTGTTTGAGTTTAGAAATAAGCGAGGAAATAAGCAAAAGATTAATAAGTCAATCACATTAAAGGAAAAAGACAATTAGCAATGTGTGATACTAAATAAATGATACTGAAATATTAAAGGGTACTGAAAAATACTGACTTTCAAGCCCCTTATTGAATGTTTGACCCTCAAACCCATCAATAATTCTTATTTTTCCTCAAGGAAAATCTCTCAGAAATTAGTGCCAAACATGAAAATATTAAAATAGTATAGAAGGAAAATGTCCATATCGCAGAGTCAAATTAATGAACTATTTCAAAAATATACCTCAAAAAGGAGGATTTCTAATATTCAAACACCTACTTACTTACCTATGAAGGTATGTTAATTTCCAACATAAGACACTCAAAACAACTTCAATAACTCAAACAAATCTATACCCCAAATTATATTTTGTTGTAAAATATGACCACCAATCCCGGCACTAGCTAATCACATTTCACATATAATTCTTTCCTGTAATAAATTAGCTTTTAATTGTTTTTTGTTTTGATTAGGAAAATAGATAATTTACATAATTTTTCATAGCCTTCACAACGCAGTAGAATTTAACCCTATAGCCAAACGCACAATCAGATATATTATGTACCTTAAAGCTCATTTACCAAGCTTGTTTTCATAATAAGTGAATAAACAACTTTTAGATTGAGGTCACAAAAACAAACCTGTATGTTTGGTGCATGTTGCACTCTTTTCGGTTTGGCTTCTGCAGACTTTTCTTTTGAATATTGACAATGGACAATAATTAAGTAAAATTTACTCAGCTTTTCGTGAATTACTAAATAAAACTGTTTATAATGGAAAACAAGGAAATACCGCATTCATTACTTTCTATTTCAAGATAGGATTATCGGTTTGCATCTTTTTTTGTCTGCAATTTTTTGGTGTCAAGACCATGCGGAATTTCGGCGAGGTTTTCGCAATTAGAGCAATTTGACCGTGTACCGTCTGTTGCCAGTCTAATTGCCGAAGGTTTTTCGTCGTAATTAATCGAAAAATGCACGTGCAATCGGTGAAAGTTTTTCGGGCTACGTGCGTAACCGAGCATCAGACATGGTCATTTTGCAAGACATCAAAATGGTTTTGGATTGTCTTTTATTATGCATTTATAACCTTAGACTATTAAATTTTTAAATAATGAGCAACATTTGAAAATAAATAATCATTCTATAACAAAATAAACATAATTGTGAGCTTAATAAAGTAGCTTTTTTAAGGGTAACAAGTAGGTTTGAAAAGGTGAAGTCTTCTGAAATGACGCCAACGTTTTCGATGGAGTTTCTAAGTGAAATACGAGATAAATTCGAATGACACCTGATTAAAAATATTGTACTTACACTTGGCCGGCGTTTTTCACAAAAATCAAACAATAATTTTATGTATTTTCTTAAAAAAACCTTAAAAAATAAGCACAATCACACTTACCAAAGCAATACAGATGACGGCTGTGATCACAAATGGTCTAATGCGCATATGTTTGCGCACAGTGTTGCTACATTTCATAAAAAAGATTTTTCAAATATTTATTTTAATAATTATTAATAGGCAATAATTAATAAGATTAAACTTTAAAAAATTAATAACTAATTATTTATTTATAATATAAATATTAATTAACATTAAAACTTTCATTAAACTATCCAAAAAAGGTTTCTTGTTTGTTTGAATATGAGCAGGGTCATTAATAAATGACGTACTTCCTGGCGCTAAATTTGAATTTCCCGGCATAATTAAATAACAAATTTCTCATTAATCAATCAAAGCGAATTGAAACAATCTTAAATCATTGTTTAAACAATGAATAATTATTAAAATAATCAAAATAATTCTATAAGTGTTTAAAGTTTGAATTAAATTTAAAATTTGAAAAATCGTGTTCACCTGACGGACAATTTATGAACTAATCAAACGGTTTTGAATTTTGCAACAGCGCCAACAGCTGATCGGTTGTCAAACTGACAATAGCTATGGATGCTAAATTTTGAAATTATTTCTTTTTGTAATTAAAAATTATGGCAAATTCATCGAGTGCAACCCCTAGTTTTAAGGTGGTTTTATTAGGAGAAGGTTGTGTGGGCAAAACGAGTCTAGTTCTGAGATATGTCGAGGACAAGTTTAATAATAAACACATCACAACCGTTCAGGTACAGTACAAACAATTTCTTTGGATTATTTTTGTAATTTTTTGCTTGTATTTGATAAATAACTTGTTGCTATTCAATTGAATCGATTCAATGGAAAATACACATTAGGTTAATTTTCACTCAGCTCCCTAGATTGATTCACAAAGAATTAAGAGATACAGGAGGTAGTTTGGACTATTTGTTGTTCTCTGAAGTAAGGGATAGGTGCAAGGATTTGAGGGACTCCTCTTATAGAATGTATCTACTCACAACAGAAAATAACATTATTGGGATTCCTAGAGCATTTTGGTCACATTTCAAATAGCAACTACTTTGTTCTTACCACTGTAGTATATAATGGCTCTTCTGGCTGTAGTAATCAAGAGACTGTAGACTGGTTTTCTAGTGTTTACTCGAGCCGTACTAATAATCAGGCTTTGGATTTTGGAATACTCATTTTCCAACATCACCGATGTTTCTTGGATACTCTGTTTCTTTTGCAGAGAATATACAACAAGTATGTAAAACATTCTCCTGATAAATTTTCCTTGCTCTTTATAAAAAAATGCTGTACACCCTTGAGACGCCCCCAGCAAATCTCTTTAACCAGGTTCTTACCTGGTTTTGTGAAGTTCAATTTTTTGAAACCAATATACTTACCTATATCATTACTTAAATTGCTTTTAGAGTAGACTCGAACAGTGTAAAGTGACAGAAACCAGATTAAAGAATTTGGATGGTGGCAACGATGCCGGTAAGAGAGTTATTGGTATCTAGTGATGTGAGTCGAGAATATTCCCATGCAAATATTCGCGAACATTGGGAAATTTCTGAGAATATTCGCCGATAAAAAATGGAAACGTTCTCCTGAATGAGAATATTCCAGGAAACTTTCAATCAAAAACTCTCAAAAAAATATTTCCGAAAACTTTCGAGAATATTCCCAAGAACTTTCCAGAAGAATTTTATAAAAATGTGAGATTATTGAGAATACAAGGTCTCAGTGACGTCATTTCAATTAGGTAATCCAACGACCTGTCCAAATAGCGTCTGGTTGGCAAACAATAAACACCACAGTACCATTGTGCTCGAGACTAGGGTGGAAATGTCCATATTTTTACAAAAACCCTTGCAAAAACCCTTTTTTCGATGAATTGCATTTATTAGTTTTACCCCCTTAAACCACCCTCAAAGTTATATGCAAGTATTTTTAGGTACCTTGAATGGTGTATCTTGGTACTGCCTATAACTTCCAGCACCATTTGCGCCCGAGACTAGGGTGGAAATGTCCATATTTTCACAAAACCCCTTTTTTTTATGGATCGCAATTTGAAATGTATAACTGAGGAACTTAACCAGTCCTCTAATTATATCGGTGCAGGTTTACACAGTACAAAGGCAAAACTTGCCACCCACGTTATCTGCGTGAAGAGTCATATTTATGGAAATCGCTGAAACAGACTAGGGTGGAAATGTCTAAATTTTCACAGTACCTTAAATGGTGTATCTTGGTACTGCCTTTAACTTCCAGCACCATTTGTACCCGAAACTAGGGTGGAAATGTTTATATTTTCACAAAAACACTTTTATTAGTTTTACCCCCTTAAACTACCCTCGATGTTATTTGCAAGTCTTTTTAGGTACCTTAGGCTGGCGCATAATCGTATGACTTTGCTGTGACGAATAATCGGACAACTTTGATCATACGAATGTGAAAGACTGCGCCTCGTCCATTAGAAACGATTTCTGGTTGATAAATAAAATAAATAGATAGTTCATTTCTTTATTTTGTAACGTATGTTCAAGTGTGGCTTTTGTGTTGGTAGTGTTTAGATAAGAGTGATTAAAATGGACTTTGCCACTATCCATTTTTTGCGCAACCTTCTTCCACAATTTGCGTTGGATGTCTCTAGCATGATATCTGCTGTCTCTCATATCCCATAATGCTTTTCTTTCTCTCACCTCGCAAATAAGCTTCTCGCTATCAATAATTATCCACAATATGTAAAAAAATAAAAGCCTGCACTGGCTAAATTGCAAATACTGACCGAAAGTCGCTTGAAAACGTCCGACAAATCCCATTCAAATGGGACCAGTCGTTGGTCGCATGAAATCGGATCTAGTCGTGCTACCGAATTCGTGTGCAGTGGATGAGCGTTCTATTTATTTTCATGTGAAGGGATTAGTCGGACGTATACGGACGACTCGCACGACCGCAAAGTCGTAAGACTACGCATCCAATGGACAGCCAGCCTTAAACGGTGTATCTTGGTACTGCCTATAACTTCCAGCAACATTTGTACCCGAGACTAGGGTGGAAATGTCTATATTTTCACAGTCCTTTAAACGGTGTATCTTGGTACTGCCTACAACTTCCAGTACCATTTGTGCCCGGGACTAGGGTGGAAGCGTCCATATTTTCACAAAAAAACCTTTTTTCGATGAATCGCAATTATTAGTTTTACCCCCTTAAACCACCCTCAAAGTTATTTGCAAGTCTTTTTAGGCACCTTAAATGGTGTATCTTGGTACTGCCTATAACTTCAAGCACCATTTGTACCCGAGACTAGGGTGAAAATGTCCATATTTTCACAAAAAGCCTTTTTTTTGACAAATCGCAATTATTAGCTTTATCCCCTTAAACCACCCTCAAAGTCTTTTTAGGTAGGTACCTTAAACGGTGTATCTTGGTCGCGGGGTGTCTCACGCTTTTAAATTTTGAACACCTAGGTACCTACTTCCCTCGCTATTTCCTTTTTGGAAATGTTATCCTGATATTGCCCATAATTTCCGAAATTTCCTGAATATTCAGAATTTTTTCAAATATTTTTTATAATTTCTAAAATTTCCAGTAGAAATATAACTAGTGCATAAAATATTTCCTTCAGGAAATATTTTATGCACGTGTTATATTTTGATAGGAAATTGCCCGAGTTTGAATTTTATTTATTATACGTTGTGTCGAATATTTTAATTATGGTGATGTGTTCTGTGATGGTGATTGTTATTGATCTTTCCCATTTAAATTGCGTTTGTCAAAAATATAAACTTTGACAGATTTCTGACATCAATGCGTTTTAAATGGAAAAGCTGGTCTCAATGCCAAAAATGACAACCTAAAGGTGGGTTTCCGACAGACGCCGCGCGGCATTGTCGCATTGGAAATTGCACCCGGAAATATCCCGCTCACCAGGGATATTTCCACTTATCAATTTTTGAAAATTACGAGATAAATTTCCAGTTAAATATGCACAAGGGAAATTTCCAGTAGAAATATAACTAGTGCATAAAATATTTCCGGAAATTTTTGAAAATTTTGTCTGAAGCCAATTTTTTAACAAAATCATGAGTGCATAGCTATGCACGAATGGTTTTGTTTAAAAAAATTGGCTAAAGACGAAATTTAAAAAAATTTCCCTTAGGAAATATTTTATGCACGTGTTATATTTTGATAGGAAATTTCCCGAGTTTGAAGTTTATACGTTGTGTCGAATATTTCAATTATGGTGATGTGTTTTGTGATGGTGATTGTTGATCTTCCCCACTTAAATTGCGTTTTTCAAAAAATATACACTTTGACAGATTTCTGACATCAATGCATTGTAAATGGAAAAGCTGGTCTCAATGCCAAAAATGACAAATCTGGAAATTGCACCCGGAAATATCCCGCTCACCAGAGTAGAGCTCCCCGATAGAACGAATGTTTTGTCTTTGTCAACGTAATCGAAAAGTAAATGAGAATGATAAAGACGAAAAATTTGTTCTCTCGAGGAGCTCTACTCCCTGGCTCGAGGATCGGCCCGTAGGGATATTTCCACTTATCAATTTTTGAAAATTACGAGGTAAATTTCCAGTTAAATATGCACAAGGGAAATTTCCTGAATAATTTCCTAAATTTCCCAAATATTTACTGATTTCCTATGAAATTTCTGACATTTCTGAAAAAAAAATTGATAATTTTCAAAATTTCTGAGAGATTTTTCATTTCTCTCCAAAATTTCCGAACATCTCCACAATATTTACTGTAGTTTTCTAGAAATGAACATTTTTTTGTTGAAATATGTACATACATGGTGGTGACAAAAGTTGGCTGTTGGCTCCAATTTGTCACTCTTTGAAAGTAGACTTTCAACTGTTTTACTCTTCAATTGTCAATCTAGAGGGCATCAAATTATACACGATGGAATTCTATACTCGATTCTATATTTGAAACCCCTATACATGATTTTGCAAAGTTTGGAGTGACCGTGGAAGCGTTTGGAAAAACAATTGAAAATTATATTTTTCTATGATCCCTTAACCATAATTCAATATTTTACAGCAAAAATTTAGTTTTTATTAATATTGTACGAACCTGAATTTGAGGGTGAAGCAAGATGTTGTTTATAAAGGTAGAAAATACATTATATTTCCAGAAAACAACTTAAAATTTAAACACAGGAAAAAACATAAGTATTTTAGTGTTTGTAGCGATTCTCGGCTCAGCATTTATGGATTTGAAATCAAATTTATTATATATTTGGTTGTTCGAGAGAGGTAGGCTACCTGAAAACTTTTATGATGTCATCTGGGGTGCCCCAACATAATGCAAATCTCTATAAGGCATCCCAGATGACGTCATCAAATTAGCCCTTGCCAGACAACCTATTAACTTTAGGAACCTTGAGGCCATATAAAGTTGTCTAAGGCAGGTGACACACTGGAGAAATAAGTTTCTTGAAACTTGTTGCAAGAAACTGATAAAAATTTGTTTCCTTACCATATGACACAACATTCAAATGTGGCGGAGCACACTGGCGTTTCTGAAACAGGAGAGCAGAAATTATTTCGCCAGTGTGCTATTTCCTGTGTCACCTGCTTATGTCTTCTTCAAGGAACTCCATGGTAATGATCCCTATCAATGTCTGTTACACGACCTATATACCATTCATCCTCATGATAGCAAACATAATACTTTTCAGCTACATAATGGCAATTTCTCCGATTTCCGAGCCGATTTCCTTTTGGGCTTTTCTTGGGGT